GCTGGATCTCGCTCAGGAAGCCCGCTGGACGACCGCCACCGGAAGGAGGAGCAGGTGCATCGCCGGGAGGTGGAGGAGGTGGAGGAGCGCCACCCATAGGGGGAGGAGGTGGAGGAGGTGCGCCGACTGATGGCATCGGTGGTGGGGGCGGTGGTGCCGAAGGGGCGTCACTTCCGGGCATGGGAGGCGGAGGCGGAGGAGCACTTGGCGCATCACTCCCCGGCATAGGAGGAGGAGGGGGTGGAGAAGTCATCGGAGCCGGAGAGTCAGTGTTCGGCATCGGGGGAGGCGGAGGAGGTGCGACAGGAGTCACAGCATTGGCGGCCACAGGACTGGCAGTTGCTGATTCCCTACCGGCTGCGGAGAGAGGACGAGGAGGTGCCATTGTGCCAAATAGCATAGAGGCCAGCTGAGCTGCGCTACCACCACCGGGTCGCTCATCGTCTGAGTCATCGTCCTTATCATCATTATCAGAACCCCAGTCGTCAGTGTCTGCACGGCGACGCGAGACAGGGCCAGAAGGAGCTTTGGCTTCCTGGTTCTGGGTCATCCTATGGAAAGGGTTCGTAGCCGAAGGTGCCGGAGGAGCAGCAGCGGGTGTACCCTCAGTCGACTGAGACATCATCCTGAAGAATGGGTTCTTACTCTCGGTCTCACTGGGTGGCGACGTGACAACCGCTGGAGGAGGAGGAGGAGGGGGAGACGAAACTGCCTCAGCAGCAGGGGGCGGCGAGGGCTTCTTGTCAAGCTCTTGGCTGGCCACCTGACTGTCGCTCCTAGTGGGCGTTGAAGCCTGAGGAGTGATTTGCTGAGGTCCTGCGTCTTCATCCGACGAGGAGCTATCACCATCTTCCATGGCTTCAAGCTGGCGTTGAAGTTCTAGCTCCCGCTGACGCGCAGCCTCAATCTCTGCCCGCCTTGCCGCAAGTTTGGCCTCCTTCTCCTTGGCCTCAGCCATGGCTGCCTTCTTCCGCTTCTTCTCTTCCTCCTTGCGAAGTTTGCCTTGTCTCACTTGTTCTTCAAGGGCTTTCAGACGAGCCTCAGAAGCCTCACGCTCCTTGGCGAGATCGTCCTCCTGTTCCTTTGCATCTTCTCTAGAAACGGGGTTAGTAAATGATTACGCGGACCTTCAGATTCGACACTTACTCCATCTGCTGCGTCTCGCGCTGCTGCTGCTCGTGCTCACGGGCAAGTCGTGCTTCTTCGGCCCGCTTAGCGGCAGCATCCTCCTCGACCTTCTTTGCAGCCTCTTGATCAGCCTCTGGCTTACCACGGTGTCGCGTTGGGGGAGGTGGAGGCCTCTTGGCCTCCGCCTTGGATTGCTCAGGTGTAGGAGGTGGAATCCCTTGCTCCTCAGCTAGACGAGCCTGGCGATCGGCTTCCCTACGAGCATCCTCTTCCTCTGCCTGTCGTAACTTCGCAGCTCGCTCAGCGCGTTCTCGCTCGATGCGCTGCGCAGCTGTCTCGCCGGACTTTGTCGGGGCCTTGATACCGAGGGCGGCCAACCTCTCAGCCATTCGCTGTTCAGCTTGCTGTTTAATAAAAGCAGCTCTCTCCTCAGGGGTCTTGTATGAAGAATATGAGCCTCCAGCAGGAGGAGTCGCAGTGCGAGAGGTCGAGACAGGACTCTCAACCCTAGGACTAGCAACACGTTCCGGCCGACTTTCCTCAGTGCGTGCTGAAGCCCGGGCGGGTCGCTTGTCTTGAGCACGAAGTCGAGCGCTGCGGCTTTCACGCTGAAGGTCGAAGATAAAGTCACGAACCTCATCCTCAACACCGAGTGCGTCCTCCCAGCGGCGCTTTTCGTGCTCACTGGTGTTATCACGACCGCCCTCTTTGAGACTGTCCTCGATACCGTGCGCAAAGTCGCGAACACTTTCCTCAACATCACGAACCATACGTTCGTTACTCTCCTTTTCATTCTTTACCTTGATGCTCTCCTCCTCGAGACGCTTAGGCGCATCGAGATCCTCAGTACCGACATCAACCTTCTTGCCAGTCAATGCAGCAGTTCGCTGCTGCATCATGGCCTTGGCCCTGGCCTTGAGTCGATCCGACTCAGTTACTATACCGCCAGGTCCTGTTCCTACAATAGGAGCACCACTGCCAGGGTGAGCCTTGGCATCCTTGATACGGAACAGTTCCAACCGAGCATCCATAATGGCCTTCTCAGTTCTGCGCACCTGCGAAGCAAGTTCGGGAACCTTGTCAGTAAGATTTTGAAGTTGGCGCTTGAGAGCTCTTCGCTCAGCGTCGGAGTCTCCGCTTGCCAGGGCAGCATCGGGATGAGAGTCGATATCCTCTTGGATTCGACGAATGCGACGATAGAGCTCCTCCGCCTCACGGCGGTCACGGCGGTCGAGGATGTCGTCTTCTTCATGGTTCTTCTCATCTGCGAAGTCCATAGCATCCAGGAGAACCTCCTTCTCCTTAATCTTTTTCTTGAGCTGATCCAAGGTTAGGTCGTCATTCGAGGCGACAGAAGCGGGAGATTCGGGACGAGGCGAGTTGTTGCCGACCCTGCGACGAGCGCTCGATCTATATCCAAACTGCTCGTCTTCGTTCTTGAAGACTGTGGCATCCTTCCGACCAGCGACGGCTCCAGCAGGTGCGCCCCTGAATGAGCGGTTCTTCATATAGCTAACGCCAGTCTTCTGCGGAAGCAGAGCGGCACCTGACTTGGTGCGGAATTCAGATTCATCGTGAAGCATTGACTTGAGGGTGCCGATGGACTGGCTAAAGTTTCGAGTCGAAGGAGGAACAAGCTCAGGGGGAAGGTTGTTAGGCAATGGATAACCGTTTAGCTTTCTGTAGATCAAATGCATGGCAACGGCGAATTCGTCGAGATCCAGACGTCCCTTATTACCGTGATCAGCCAGAGTCCAAACTCGCTCAAGATCGGGCTTCTCAAGTCCACTCTGACCAAATATCTCGATAGCCTGGTCACCACCGATGTATCCCTTGCCAAGGCCATCCCAAGCCTTAAAAAGAGAATCGTATCGGGTCTTTTCTTCCTTTGTAATGGCCCAGGGGATAACGGCGTTTCCTCGCAGTCCCTGAGTGGTGAAGTTTCCAGCTTCTCGGCCCTGTTGAGGCATCATCTGGGCTTGAAGGGCATCGATGTTGGGCAGGCCGGTAGAAGGAGCATTGACAAGACCCCATTGCCCAGGTCGTCCTGTAGGTTGAGCATTCAGAGGGGCAGCCATACCACCTGCAGGCCCAGGAGCGAGCGACTGGCCAAATCCCGTGGGCATTGGGGGCATCGGGGGACGAGGACCGCTGTAACCTGTAGCTTGAGGGTTGTTTGCCATGCCAGGGAACCCAGTTTGCTGGTTTTGCAGACCCTGTTGCTGACCGAAACCTGTCTGCTGTCCCGGGAACCCAGTCATCTGCGCTTGAAGCAGCTGTGCATTTGAGGCTTGGGGCTGAGGTTGCGGCTGCTGAATGGCCGGTGGGGTGGCAGTGTTGGTTCTAATATCAGGAGCAGAAGAAGAGCCGGCTCCGGGAGCACTCTCGTCAGCGACGCTGAAGCTAATGATATCCACCATGCTCGAAACCTCATTCTTGATGTTCTCGGGCAGGTTAGGTGGCAGCTGCTTGCCAGTCAGTTTCAAGTTGCACAGGTACATGGCGAGTGCGAATTCGGGGAAGTAGAGCTGGCCAGCACGAGTGGTATCAGCAAGAGTCCTGAGACTTGTTAGCAACAAGGGCATAAACAACGAGTAACATGCCCCGAAGAGATTTTCTTCTTACCAGATGTGCGATAGAGAGTCGCCATCAAGTCTTGACCTCATAAGCAGATCCCGAGCCTTCTCTCCTGACATGGTCATGCCAGCTTCTCCCACAGCAGACTTGAACAGGGTTTCGAACTTGGCCTGATCCTGGGCTGTGATGAAGGAGAGACGGATATTAGGGATTTTGTTGGGCTGCGACTTCTCCTGTCTTCGACCTCGGGGCTTCGCAGTACCGCCAGTCTGAAAGGACGCGGCCATCTCGGTGAAGCCGGTAGCCTGGGGCTTCATCGGCGCCGGTGGTGGGTTTGAAGGCCCAGAGGCTTGCTGAGGCGAGGCGGAGAAGCTAGTGGGTTGCTGCTGCTGTTGCTGCTGGAACTGTTGCTGGAACTGAGGCGGGATCGACGGCATCGCAGGAGCACCGGTCTGGAAGCTCTGCTGCTGCGGCTGGGGGGGTTGTTGTTGCTGTCCCGGAAATCCCGTAAACTGTTGTTGAAGGGGCTGCTGCGGCTGTAGTCCCTGACCCTGCATTGGAAAGCCCGTATACTGCTGCTGCAGAGGAGCTTGCCCAAAGCCTGTAGGTTGAGGCGCAAAGGGGCTGGGTTGGCCAGGCTGCTGGCCAGCACCCAGATTACCAAACGATCCTCCGCCATATTGCTGCTGCTGGCCGCCAGGACGCTGGCTATTACCGCCTAGAAAGGCGTTCGAGTTGGAATACATTGCGGGTTGATTCCTGATCGCAAGACCACGGACAAAAAGCTCGTTTGGGAGGTTCGAGGAGGCGCTAAATTCGGGGGTTATGAGGAATCGAGAGGAGCTCTCTGGAGCGTGAAAGCTCCACTGGAAGGTGTTGAAAGTTAAAAACAAATGCAATAAAAGTATGCGAAATACAATATTAAAGGACTGAACGGCCCTCGGATGGTAATTGTGGAGTGGACAGAGGGCATCCACGAAATGTGATGATGGAGAAGTGAGAATGGGTGAGTGGCTTCGTATGTGATGACGAGCGCCGTGGTCTCGAGCTTGGGCAGGTTGCTGTAGGTTTCTAGTGGAGTTGTCCCCCAGTGGAGACTGCAGCTGGAGCGCTCCTAGTGGCCTGCCAAGGCATCGGTGGGCTTTTACAGACCTAAGCAAATTGGGGTGGCTTAGACTCTCCTGGAAGTGACAGGGATTGGCGGTCTTTCACTTAAGGTGTCTTTGGTTGAGTCACGCTTATTGTGTTATCATGGGTACTGACATATGCATCACAACAGAGAGCAATTACAAATGCATCAGTGTACGTAGTAAGTAGCTTAAACTGAGACAATTGAAGACTGATATTGAACTCAACTCATCTAAAAACTCAAACTAGCGAAGGGTATCAAGAGTAACTTATACGCAAAACCTGCATAAACCGCCAACCATCAATCATACCAGAAACTCATAAACGCCTGCCCCCTTATCCCAAGTGAAAACATCACAAAAAGAACTCCGGAATGATCGGAATAGAGTCGACCACAATGCCACCTTCTCTGCACTCAATTGTCCATTAGAGTTCGTTATCCTCATCTCACGTGTGCCGTTCCTCAAACTGGACTCCATGTTCTTCTTCCTCGATGCAGCCAGCTTCGTCACTCCAGAATCGTCGATGGGCTCGCAGTTCAAGCCCAAAGTCAGGATCATGCGGATCTGCAAAGCTGTATTCGTAATCGAGCGGCTCTTCGTTCCCGTCTTGTTGATTCTCTACCAGATACTCCTTTTCTACGGGGCTCTCGGGCTCAGGAGGTGTGGGGATCGCTGATCCTGTGCTTGGACTCTCTGCAGCGCTGATACCCCCCTCGCTCGAGACAATTGAGTAAGATCTTGACCAAGACCTTATCACTCTGGCACCTGGTTCGGCGCTGACCAAACGAGCTGGGCCCAGTGAGATCATACTGGCTCTCTTATTGTTCAGATAAGGGTTGGAAGCGCGACGATTCATAGCCCTCTTGGATTCGAAAGCCCGTAGCGCCAAACCGCCAAATGCTTTAGAGAAGTCTTCTTCACCATCGCATAACATATAGCCATCTTGGCCTGAGTCGTAGCGACCATCTTCGCCTTCTTCAAATAAGAGTTGGTTTCTCTCAAGAACCTCTTGTTGGGTTCGGACTGCGTCTTCCCAGCCATCTCGCAGCTGCTGTGCTAGAGGCTCACTAATACTTTGGGGCACCTTTTCGTGACGCAGTTTGGAGATCATAGATTGCCTGCGCGCCGAGGTCGCCGTAGCCACGGCGTTGTCCACCGACTTTTGTATTGTCTGGGCGAGATCGCGATCCGAGAAAGCCGAAAAATAGCGGATCGTCGTATTGTCACTCAAATGTCGGACGAGATGTCTAAAATTCGAAAGATTGAAATCATTGCCCTCACAGTCAAGACTGTGAAGGGTTTTATTAGCAGAGATGGCTTCAGCCAGGTCTCCGATGTTCACGTTCAGCAATTGGCTTCGCACGCGAAGGTGCTCAAGCCGTGTGTTGAACCTTAGTCCACTCAAGGCCTTGGAGAATTCCCGTCCAAGACGACCTTCATCCAGCTTGGCATCAAATCCAGAGAGGTCAAGGAACCTAATCGTATGGTTTTGAGAGAAAAGATCTGAAAGCGCTCTGCAGGCCGTTTCGCTGGCCGAGTCAGGGGTAGCAGTACCTGCAAGACTCAGACATTCAATGGTTTGGTTGACCGCTAATGCCTTCAAAAGTTTGATGTAGTTAGCTTCCAAGGCAAACTCTACCATCTGCACGAATAGTCCCCAAGGGCCAAAACATTCGCTGATGACAGCACACAAATCATCTATGCCCTCGTCTAAGCGGTTGCCGTTGATGTACAATGTAATTTGTCGAGCCTGACCCATGGCATAAAACATCTGGGCTATTTGAGCACCCGTTAGACCACATTTGCTCAGACGAAGCACTCTGAGGTTTTCGGAATTCTGTGACGCCAGATATGCAGTCAGAATATCCACAGTTGGGCTATTGAGCTATTTGACTTCTGTTAGTTACGAGTCCATGCATAGAATATATGTCGACTTACAGCGATGCCAGATAAGTCAAGCTCCTCCAGACTCCATGAGCTCAGTACATGATCCTCAAACAAAGGAACATCAAACGGGAGTCGAGTGTTGCCAGCGATGTTCAGTTTTCTTATGGCTCGTAGTTGACTAAGCGAGTCCCGGATGGTTTCGAATTTGACCGTGCCTTGATTTTCGGAAGTATCGATATGTTGAAGATTGGCGCCCTGACCTGGAATTCCGGCCCAGAGTGTAGTAAGACCCTCATCGCCAAGTCCACAATTAGACAGATCGAGTTTCTTCATGTACACCTCATCAAGGACGAGTAAGTTTGCCAGCTCCTCAATGTCGCCTGATGCAATGAGATTGCCAGACATGGTGATGCTGTGACAAAGACACGCTTGACGCTTCAGCAACAGCAGGATGGGTCGAAGAACCTCGGAACTGACTCTCCGGGAGCCATCAGGGTCCTTGGAGCGGCCAATGGTGCTTCGTGGGCCAAGAATATTTCTCAGATCCATACTTCGGATCGATTCCGATGAAAATGCCAGGGCATGCATCTCTTGACTGAGAACAGAAGACTGCATCAAAATGTCATAATGCTCTTCAGATATTTTGACCCCGTTTAGTGATGTGTAGGCGATAGTGTCGCCGAAATGGGAATAATCCTTCTTTCCTGCGATACCTGATAGATCAATATTGCGGAAGGAGAGCTCCTTGAAGTAACTGTTATAACGCAAGGCTCGGAATAGTGCAAGTAATTGCAATGTAGAATATGGTTGTGCGCCAGGAGGTAAAAGGCGAAATGCTGGCTGAGAGGGAGTGTTCCATTCGATGGTCCATCTTGGCACCTGGACCTTGAAAGCAGCGCAATAGGCGTGCAGACTTCGCTCGAGACCTCCCAAATCATTTCCAGATGTCAACTGAAGTGGTGGAGGAAGGCCTTTGATATCGAATATTGCCTTTTGCAAATGCTGTGGCCACATGGGTTTCAATTCTCGGTCGACTTTAGTCATCGCCTCGATAACATGTCTGTAATGTACACTAGCAAGCTCGAGTCTGTTCTCGCGGCCTAGTGGTAACCTAGCCCTACGTTAGGACATGGAATAATGAAGTATGGTGTGGTGAGACTTACCGGAAGCTCATCACAAACCTTTGTTCGTGTGACGCAACAGACGCTCGGAATCGAATGAGTGAGACTGTACCGTAGGACTGCACCTTTACGCGCAGGTCACCAGGGGTAGTCGCATAATCTGCCTTGAGAACCTCGAGGAAATACAACATAGCTGGTCCAATGACGATGTAGAAGGACGAGCCATCCACAAAGTGCTGAGACTCATCAGCAGAATTAGCCTTCTGAGGTGAGCCTATTGTACGTTTGACCACGGGAAAAGTCAATATCTTAGAGGCGTTGGCATTCGAGTCTGGTTCCGTGGTTTCCACAATATGGTTGATTCTCGCTTTCAAATTGCCAGGGATCAAGGAGGGAGAAGGAGCTCGCCTATGGCTCATTCTACAAGCCTGTTGAATACTGGCCAGCCAGTCATCCCGATCCTTAGGCAACATGAAGAATAGATGCGTCTTGGAATACGCAAGCTTTGGCCACTGGGAGAACCACCATATCTCGACGCCAAATCGAGGACTTGAACCTTCTTCATTGAAAACGCCAACAATGGATCGCAAGGGTATTTCTATCCGCACGTCGGACGACGACTTGTGAGAATGGTGATGTGCACTGCTGGGCTTCAGTGTCCCGCTGCCTGATTTTATCTGTGGGAAAGCAGCTCTTGCTCCTTCCATACTCCCGAACTTGATCAGACAGGTATCTGTAAGAACCAGATATTCGGCGCGGGCCTTAAGAAGCGAGACATCAGTCTTCAGTGGTCCGTATTGTATAAGCTCCATGGACGAATAGGGGACCTCGGGAGTAACTGATGGAAATTCCGGGGCGGATGCGCTCATGGGTGAAGCTATCGATACTCGACGATGTATCCTGTCGATCATGGACCCTGACCCTGAATGTGTCTTCTGTAGACGTCGAATGGAGGAAGAGCTTCGAGATGGGCTCTGTGACATGGATTCCATCGAGGAATTGCTAAGAGAACGAAGAGCTTTCGAGAAGACGCGTGGCTTCTTTCCGTCGACATTATCGAATCCCTTATTACCATCGGTAGGAATTGGTACAGGGGGCGTCCTGAGGGTAGGAAGAGTCCTTCTCTTCCACTTTTCGGCGCTCATGTTGACAACTCCTGGACGAAACTACCACAAGATTGTCGCTGGCTTTCAAGGCTCGAGAATTGCAGTTCCCCAAATCAGCAGAGACGGAGAAGTGGTTCAGCATGTATAGATGGCGAGCATGCCGTCAGGGGAGATGCACACGACACCACACTCTCAATTCGAAAACAAATGAGGGTTCCTTGAAAGGAGGCCGAAAACGATATAAAGATGTGAACCGTGGACTGGGTGACAGGGTCGTCTCGACGTCAAGATGTCTCAGTTCGTTCGGCCACACTTATGCAATGTCGCAAAATATTGAACGAGTCAAGCTGAAAGGAGCCCCCGCATGCGTTGTCGTCAGAGTCAAGAGTCAGAGCGGGATGTGGATGTGGATGTGGATGCGGCTGGCGTCGAGTCGGTCGCTGAGTCCAAATATTTTGGGTTTGGCGGCGGTAGAGCGTTGTTGGAGAATGGCTGAGGAATGTACTTAGAGGCTGAGCGCCATGTACAACTAGTTCCAGTTCGGCCGGAGATGTACTTGATGGGTATGTACTGTAGATACTGCAGACAGTCACGCAAGACAGAACTCCTTGGAAGAGGAAGAGGATGCAAAGGCAGAGGTAGAGGCAAATGGAGCGTACGTGGAGGGAGTTATCACGGTACGAGCTGAGATTCGATCGGATAATCGGCGGCGAGGGAATGAATCAACGGCTTTGATGAGACCAATATTCAAGATGACGTCGTTGTGAGGCCGAAAAGACGGGCCAGCTCGATAAGGAGCAGAGAAACATGTGAGATCTAGATCACAGTCGCAGGCATGCTGATATACTGCCAAGCATGGGGGATTTGAGGGCAAAGGCGATGCCCAGCAACGCAGAGCGGGAGAAAAGTTGTCGAGACGAGAGCCAGCAGGAGGCTTGAGACTTCAACAATACGAGGCGAGTGAGTATAAGCTTTTGATCCGGTGGTCCCGGAGACGACAAGGGGAAGAGGAGCGAGAGACAGTCGTAGGCCGAGCCTTTTGAGGACGAAGGAAAGGAGAGGATGATAAATAAGACAAAAGAGGCGCCTGGAGTGGTGATAATGTATGGATGTCTTCGGCCACGGGCCAAGGATAGGAGCTGGCAGAGGCCGGAGTAGCGATGGATATAGAAGAGGATGGGGCAGGAAAGAAAAAGGAAGGGGAGGGGTTGACTAGGATTAATTCCAGAGGAAAAGTCAAAAAAAGACTCCAAGGTCGAAAGTCGAAAGGAAAGGAAGGAAAATGGAAGAGCAAAGAAAATAAGGTAAGGTAGTCCATACCATTAACTAGGTTACCTTAGGAAATGGATGGTCTGAGGTCGGGTTGGATCTCACATCCATGGATCCCATCAATTGTCGTCGTCATAAGGACTGCTGCGGCCGGGGTTTTTTTTTAGTGCAGGACCACCCATGGACACAATGGATCTGTCTGTGCATACGGACTTGCAGTTGGGTCAAACAGCCAAAGCTCCACTGAAATTATAGGGAGATAGTTAGCAAATCTCCAACGGGCGGGCGGGCACCTAATGGAAAAGAAACTAAAAAGCCTCCCTCATCTCTAAGAGGAAATCCCTGCACGACCGGACTCTTTCACCCAGCACAAACAAGGACTAACGCGTAGTAGATTAGATCTCGATTGGCAAAGCCAATTGAATGCGATTTACTGGTCCTCGGTTGAATATGGCCGCAGGAAAATGTCAAGGGGTGAGGGCCCCCCTCTGGGCCTGGCATTTCGGGGACGAGAAGAATCAAGGTGTGCGTGTCTAGACGTGGACATGGATGGCGTGGTCCAAGGTTTGAGACTGAGTGCAGATAAACAGGAAATGGCTGCTCAAACCAAGACGCTCTTATGCATATCTCACTTTCTACTACGTGTAAGCTGTAAAGGTTTGGTCGTCGACCCACAGAATGCTCTTCCAAGGATGATAATCGCCATCCATGACGGGCGATGGACGTGGTGAGTGGTCATGATGGGCCATGATGATGCTGAAACCCATCATTATTTCGGCTCCTGATGTTGAGTTTGTTCACGACAAAGCCAATCATTAAATGCGCGGGGTACCCTGCCCTGCCCTGGTAATGCAAATGTGAGTGACCATGCCAATTGACGCTCAGTGTTCCCGGCCAGATTCATCAACAACTGTTGGTTTCAAACTTTCAGCTGCCCTGGTTTGATTGTAAGCCCCATCATATTATCACGATACTGTAGTTAGACGAGACTTTGAAGTCTGCGACCCCTCCCTTCTCCATCTTCCATCAAAACCGCCCATTTCGCTTCAAGCCCATCTTCAGTAAACTCCTAGGCCATCATGGCCACGAGATTCTGCACAAGAATTGCGGCTTGTACGCTTGTATTCGTAAGTTGGTGGAGCTGCCGCCCATTGCCCTGGCTCCAGCTCACCTAGCAGGCCAATCCCTTGATCCTTTGGGCATGTCAACATCGTATTCATTGATCTCGTGTCACCTATGACTATCCTTCTTTTCTCCCGACTGTCGTGCACTCTGAAAAGATCTCGTGCAGAGCAAAACCTCTGTTCTGCATAATCCTTATCTGCCGTATTGCCGGACGCCGCATCAACTTACGAGCTTTTGCAACCTGCGCAGTCGCAGTTCACGAGCCTAACTACCTAGGTAGACAAGGCTTGCTTGATAGGGCATCATGGAGCTTGCGATTGGCGTGCATCCAAGCCACCCGCTAGACGACCCAGCGTCCTCGTTCAGGATAAGCTCCAGCATGATGAACTCCCATCGACTTGTATCTCAAGGGATGGGCCGTTCTGGAACTTCCATCTTATAATAATCTTTGTCACGGCACAGGAGAAGCTGAGACTAGAGCTTGGATATCTGAGTGATCCAGGCAATGTGCTTGACCGTCCAGTGCAGCAATCAATAGAGCTCGCCATTGGCGGTTGACGAGCCACTTCAATCTGGCGTTAAGCGGCGTGGCATCTCGTGGTGAAACCGTGATCATCCGTCAATATCTGGAAGATTGTCAGCAAAAGCCACCCTGGTCTCAGGCCAATGACCGGCGAGTCCGTGAAGCTACAGGACGGCACTGCAACGGTCGTATTGAATCTACACTTGCAGGAGCCAAGTCAGGTAGTTTTCCATCCACAGATGCCCCTGTCGAGAGACCCTTGACGACCTGCACTGCAGTCTGCAGCACCTCATGGATCATGTCATGTGGGTTTTGATGCTCGACACGAACGACGCCGGCTCCGATGTGCTCTAAGAAAAGCAACGCCCCCACTGATATCCATGCTTGATGGGCGATTACTGCGCTACATAAATTCAGGGACCAGACTAATAAAAGTTGCCGTCCTCCGTCGTCTACCTGAGTAGTGATACTCTATTTCATGGCGGTTCCCTTGTTTGTGGATAACTCAGTCGCCATCTCCTGCTGACCGCTCAATTGCATAGCTTAGAGACACGTGGATAAGGTAATGTTTGGGAAATGGCATGTCCATGAGGCTGCTGAGGTCCAGTGTATACTGACCTCGGCAAGAGGAGTTGAGATTCGACATAGACCGCTTACAAATATTTGAATAATTTTAGAACCTTGAAGCATTACTGAAACATTGAAAGTTACTGGAAACCTATACCCAGCCGACCGATATTCTGCAACTGTGTTATTTCCACCTTTTCAACTTCGTCCATCGTCTAGAAGAATTCCATCTTCCAAGGCTTTCATGCCTGAAGTGGTAATCAGGACTTCAATTGGACTTGTGGTAAATTTTTCAACACTCTGTATAGTCTCTCGAGTATCGCTTGAGACAACGGATAAAAGGCTTATTCTCATTCCCAAACAACGAGGTATGTCCGAACGACGGCTGGCAGCGGAGATCTTCAAACATATGATGCCTGTCCCGCAAAATGCTATCTGACGAAAAAGAGCTGTTCAATGATGTGAAATTTCCACTGAAGATGATGCGTTATGGTATTCTAATTCGAAGCTCTTGATGCTTTGCTGCGTGTGCTTTCATGTTTGTAGGCTGTATATGCGTCAATGTCCCTTACTTTGGTTCTGGACACAACGTCGTGAATTTGTTAAGGTTCTGATGAGAGCATCCTTTGCACCTTCGAATCCCTCTCAATGTAAGTTGACTCAGCGATGACATGTGTCATATGTCAAGTTGTGACAGTAGTTATTCTCAACCCATAGTTTCTAGGTAATCATCATGCCATGCTCAAGACCGTAACAAGAACTTGTACTTTTTATTTGGTTCAACCTGGTATAATAAGTCTAGATGAATTTGAAGCAGACTGTATTGTGATGTTGGAAATTCCATCACAAGGAGTAACATAATTGAGGTTTTGATTCGATGAGTTTACAATATGGTATTAGGCGATGAAGCCCTCTATAGTTCCTGTATTTCAAGGGAAGAAGATAATTGCTTAAACCCGGTCAAGAGCTTAATAGAATGATGCCGAATAAATCTCTCAAATTACACAGATTCCGAGGTACGGTAGTTCTAACGGCCACTTGAGGTCCGAGGAAGATATCCCTCTTTTAACTACTAGATCTCGGTAAGTAGAGGGGCACGACCAAACCACGGCAGGTAAGTAAACTGCCCAGACACTGAGAAAAAGGTGTATGGCCCACGCTAGCTTGTAGTAGGTGGGCTTTGCCGTGACATCTATAAGTTGATAGTAGGGGACGTGATCTACAATAAGGAGTAATGCAACGCAAGGTACATTACCTACCTTGTACCATATATGAAGCTGCCTCCCTTGTATTTAACTTGACAACTTCACAATAATTTAGTTCCGAGAGTTTTGTCGGTTCGTGATACTCTGCAATTGGCATCGACAGTCATTGTCTGGCCAATCAGATCTATTAACACTCATCGATATTCTCACGATCAATCGGTATTTTCGACCGCTTCACCGTCCCCGCCGTCTGACCGCCTTCCCAAACAAGCAAAATCTTCCATCAGCCATCAGCCATCAGCGATTTCGGAAATCGGCCTTCGGTTTCCATTTTTCATAGGAGAGCTCCCCCCTCAACCTCTTCCTTTAAACCGTCAAACGCCTCAGCTTTCTTTTGCACCCCGCAAAAGCAAAAGCAGAAGAAGAAGCAGAAGCAAAATCTGCCTCTTGCGCCTCATACGCTTCCGTACAACCTCGTACGAGCTCATTTGCAAGGTTCAATTGCTCAGCCGAGAGCAATACAACAAATAACAGAGCTTCACCTCCAGTTGGTTTTCAAGGCGGGGATCTCCAAAGCTCCACCATGTCCTCTCCTGGCGACAACCACTCGCTCTTCGCGAGGCACTATATCGATTATGTCTACGCCCCTGGCCTGCTCCTCATCGTTGGCACTCTTATCGTTAAGAAGGAATGGGCTCCTTGGGCTGCTCTTGTCGCCGTAGCATTCGGCATTTACAACTTCATGGCCTTCCGTAAGTTGCCGCCAGATGAAACCTCCCCCAAGTCAATGTCGACTAACTTGGAATCGCAGAGGTCAAGACAACTCTTAAGCCCGATGTCTTTCAGGAGTTCGAGCTCGAGGAGAAGACCATCGTATCTCACAATGTCGCCATGTAAGCCGCCAATATGCCCACCGACCCGTCCCGTCCTCGTTCTGCTCAGTATACTAATCTCACAATAGCTACCGCTTCAAGCTCCCCAGCCCCAAGCACATTCTCGGTCTTCCCATCGGCCAGCACATCTCAATTGGCGCTCCTTGCCCCCAGCCCGATGGCACTACCAAGGAGATTGTTCGTTCCTACACTCCCATCTCTGGTGACCACCAGCCCGGCCACGTCGACCTCTTGATCAAGTCTTATCCTCAGGGCAACATCTCCAAGCACATGGCGTCTCTCACTGTCGGTCAGACCATCAAGGTCCGTGGCCCCAAGGGCGCTTTTGTCTACACTCCCAATATGGTTCGACACTTTGGTATGATTGCTGGCGGTACTGGAATCACTCCCATGCTCCAAGTCATCCGCGCCATCGTTCGCGGCCGAGCTGCCGGAGACAAGACCGAGGTCGACCTCATCTTTGCCAACGTTACTGCCCAGGATATCCTTCTCAAGGAGGACCTCGACGCTCTCGCTAAGCAGGACTCTGGTATCCGCGTTCACTACGTCCTCGACAAGCCCGAGGAGGGTTGGACTGGTGGCGTCGGCTACGTCACTGCCGACATGATCGACGTAAGTTCTCGCACGCTCAACTTTGCTATTTTCAGCGATTGACCATGCTCTAGAAATATCTTCCCAAGCCTGCCGATGATGTCAAGATTCTTCTGTGCGGTCCTCCTCCCATGATTAGCGGTCTCAAGAAGGCAACAGAGAGCCTTGGCTTCAAGAAGGCCCGTCCTGTCAGCAAGCTCGTTGACCAGGTCTTTGCCTTCTAAGCATGCCAATTACTCCAGC